TCAACAAACTGCCCAACATTGTCAAAGAATGAAAGAGATAAAATGTTTGCAGAAACAGCTAAGAAATTAATGGAAGTGAAATGCTATACCTGTCATGGAAAAGGACACATATCACCTGATCATAAGAATGGAATTAAGAAAATACAAGGACCATTTGAAAGAAGGAATAGTTATCCAGGAAGAAATACAAGCTACAACAATAGGAATACAGGATATAGTAAAACCAACAACTATAATAGGAATGGAAATAGTTATAACACTGGTTATAAGAAAAGATATTGACAACACTCGGAGTATGAACTAGGACAGTTAATGAAAAGGGAGATAAGAAATAATGGATTACAAATAAGTTTTATACAGACAGCATTGATAACAACAGTGACATCATTACTAGGAAATCAACTAAAGAACTTAATCATGGATACTTTAAGGAATAGAACTGGAAAATTTATCAAGGATACATTTAGACAAAAATGCACAGAAATAATAAAAGATTTTATAGTAACACAGTTGAAAGGAAAGTTTGCAACATATTTAACAGAATTCATAGTAACACATATAGAAAGAAATATTGATAACATATTGGATAATAGTACAACATCTAAGGTAGCAGCTAAAGTAACAGATAATATAGTAAAAGGATTAGGTACTTATTTGTTTAAGAAAGAGTAGATTAATGAAATGGTATTTATAATAGTTTATTATCAACTCAACATGGTATGATATCCTTGACTGTAAAGTTATCTTAGTAAGACTCTTAAGCTTCAACATAAAAAAGTTTTAGTTTAAATTACTTACTGAACTCCCACTCAAAAAGTGAGACGACCACAATTCCGAAGAGACCACGGTAAGGATGATAAAAATTATAAATACTCTGAGAAAACAGTCTAGTGTTTAGCAACATATCTTGTAAAAATTTAATAAATAATGAAAAAAACAATTGACGCCTGAAGAACAACAGAAAATAACCAATTATTGGACAAATAAGTGGGTAGGTCCTATGGTAATAATGTATAGAGAACCTAGACCAATAACTTTTGAAGATATAAAGAAATCATGGAATAAAGAATTTGAAAAAACCAAAAATACAGGAATTCTATCTACAGCAACTGTTGAAGAATTAAAGAAAGAACTATTACAACTTGAAAAAGAAACTGATGAGAATACTGAAAAATTATAAATACCCTTGATGAGAAAAAGAAAAATCAATCAGCAAAAATCAACAAAATGACAACAATTGAGGAAATTGAAAATGATACTTCTTTATGGCCTGGACAGAAAGCAAAATTGATATTGGAATTACAAGAACAAGAAGAGAGAAAAAGGCAAGGGCTTCCTTATAAGCCAACAACAGCACAAATAATCAAGAAAATAAGTGAAGAATTACAAGAATATATAAAACGAAAAGAATATTTAGAAAGAAAAATAACACAACTAAAAACAAAAAAGGAAAATAGTACACTCTTTAAAGAACATTATGATAAAAAGATAAAGAAAAATGAGGAGGAATTGTATAAATTACAGCACCCTGAAAGGTATAAAAAGACTCCAGGAGGAACCTTCATCCACAGAGAAATAAAAGAATAATGGAAAATATCTTAAATTTACCAATAGAGCTTCAAATACAAATACTTGGAATAATATGCAATGAAGTAATACCTAGAAGAAAAAATATAAAAACATTAGAACAAGTAGGAGAAGGAGGAAATTTATTTAGAACAATGTTGCAAAAAAAATATGTAGATCAGATAAAACAAAGACATAATGTGATAAATACCGTACAAAGGACTTGCAGATTATGGAAAAATATAATGAATAAATATAAATATACCACAACAGATATTTGTAGAAAAATAAAAGAAGAATGGTATCAACAATATGATAAAACAACTGCATGTAGAAACTGTAAAAGATTTAAGAATGATAGGTTAACTAAACAAAACTATAGAAGATTTAATAGTTGTAGAAGCACATATTGTATTAAGGAATATTTCATGAGCATCTGGAGAATAAAAGGATCTATTGTTATAAAAGGAAAACAGTCAAATCTGGCTGAAATAGTGTATTACAAATGGGAAAAGAATTTTGACAGTAGTAAAATCAGAAAGATAATTAAGAAATACTATTATTTGAAAATAATAAGAAAAGATTGGAAAGCATATACTAAAAGTATGTATAGTGAGGATGAAGAAATAGTAAGAGTGGTGATTTTAAGAAATTTGGCTAGGATCAATGACATAGAATTTAAGGAAATATATAAGCAGATTTAATAAATCATGTGATGATAATCAAAAAAAAGAATATAATGAAAAAAAGAAAATTGATAAACGAATAATAAAATGAATGTAACAAAAGAACAACAACGAACTGTTATCCTTTATTATTGGAATATTGG